TTTATATGGATTTGGATTGGATTATGGAGATGTGGATTTGAAATGTACTTACCTCTGTGCATGTTGTATGTTGATGTGGTTTTGATTAGTTGTTTAAGCATGGTAGTGATTTTATAGTATGAGATGAGAGGTTGATGTTTTGAGAGGTTTATATAGGCATGTGTGTGCATGAATTTGGTGAATGATGCATTGTACACCATTATACTGAATTGGTACTAAGAGGGAAGAAGACTGATCACCTTCCTTCTCATCTTAGTTAAGTGAAGTATTATGGCATGCAACTCATTATTCCAAGCATATGTATCTGAAAGTGATGTTTGTTTGTGTGTTAATACATGTTGCATTTCATATGGTAGTGAGTTGTGCGTTTTGCATGGAAAGGAATAGGATGGGTAGGAGATTGAAGGATAGGAACATAAGATAAATCCGGTCTTTTTGAGTGAATTTGAGGTTGTTTTAGAGCTTAGGGAGTTGAAATACTTCAAGGAATAGAATATTTGAGGTGAATAGTAGCTAATAGTGAAATTTGGAAATTTCGAAAAATGGCTATATATAGGGACTTAGGACCGGAGGGTCTCATTTGTCAGACAGGGATAGTTCTAGAAAGAGTAAATAGAGAGACGGGCTACGGTCCAGAGGAAAGCTGAGGACACATTTGGGAAGCTTATCAAGTCAGGATCAATCTTCACAACTAGAGTATTAAGAGATTTAGCCTCTAGAAGCTTGAAAAGTGAGATTGAAGTTTGAGTTGGGATTTGAGGGTTTTGTCCAAATCGTGCATTTATGAGGTTTCTAAGGTAAGGGTAGTACTTATAAGACTTAATCTAGTATGTATGGGTTTGAAATATCATATTAATTCCATGCTTTATGCCTGATTAAGGATGGATTGAGGGGAAAGGCTTTTGGTTGGGGTTTCTTCATGATTTCCATGGATTAATGGTTAATACTTGATTTTATTGCTTAAAATGTTGTTTTTGGATATTGTTTATGCTTTATAATGGTTCAAACGCATGTAATTTGGATTGGATTCATGATTGGAAGGAATTTTCA